TCTCTGTACACTAGGTTAAACCTCAACCTGTACCGGGGAGGGTTCTTGACTCTGCTAGGGAAAGAATTCTAGAGCAGGTTGGACAAATGTAGGTAAGGAAGGAATTCATTAAAGCAAGAATAGCAGGGAATTGCAGCAGAGATCAAGAAAGAGCAGAGGGAGGAAAGGGAAGTGGATTGAACTCTTGCTGAGCATAAGGCATATTTCTTGCTAATTCCTAAAACCAGGGTCACCTGGCATCTACTGTCCACTTGAAACATGGCATAGGGAACTAATTCCGTACCATCTTAGAATTTGGGAGAGCTACAGAGCACTGGATGGAGTGAGATTATGTTCTGGGAACTCCCCACAGGCAAAACAAGGGGGTTTTCAGGAGGCTCCTAAAGAGCATGATTGTACGGCTGCAGTCCTGTCTGGGTCACCCAGGTGACGGAAACTTGCAGGCCCAAACCAGAGATATCAGTAACTCCTCCCTACTTCTCTGAAGTAGGACAGAGTGAAGACTTGTGCTTAAATCTAGAAAATAGAAGGAAATGGCAAAGTAAAGATTCTTACTACTGGAAGAATGCAGAGATAAAACACAGTAAGTTGAGAAGTAGAAGTCTTAGGGCAAAAAGTACACACTTGAAGAAAGGGGAGTGTGGGCAACCTCACAGATAAAGCACATTGAAGGGTTTAGGATTCTTTTTTAAGGCTTTCAAGAATAGGGCAAAGGGAGGTGAGTGGTGGTGGGGCAATGTGTGTAGGCTTGACATGTGGTCTCATGATGTCTCTCTTTGATGAGACACATTATGTCACCATCCACAGTCAGGCCTCTAGATGATTCTGTAAGAAACTTAACACAAAGAATTTATTGATCCTGTTCTTCTCCAAGATAGTAGTTACCCTAAAGCACTGGGAACATATCATTTAGGACTGCTCACCCTGCCTTAACATAGGTTGTTGGCTGTTTACTAAAGATTATGGTATTTATATTAATTATAAGCAGGAAAAATTGAGCATGATGCTTGTCCTATGTCCCTGCTCTGTGTCATCCACACACCTGTCAGAATGGCTATTATCAAAAAGACAAGAAATAAGTGTTGGTGAGGAAGTGGAGAAAATGGAAGCTTTGTACACTGTTGCAAGAATGTAAAATGGTGCAGCCACTATGTAAAACAGTATTGCACTTTCTCAAAATAGAAATACCATACAATTTAGCAATCCTGCTACTGCGTATTTATCCAAAAGAAGTGAAATCAGAATCCCAAGGAGATACTTGTACTCTTACATTCTCTGCATTATTCATGATAGCCAAGAAGTGGAAACAATCTGAATGTCCACTGAAGGGCAAATGAATAAATAACATATTTTCATTTTGCATATATGTGATATATATAACAGAAATCAGCATTAAAAGGAAATCCTCTCATGTACTTCAACATGGATGACCTTGACATTATGCTCAATGAAGTAAGCAAGTCACAGAAAAACAAATACTGCATGATTCTACTTACATGAAGTATCTAAAATAGTCAAATTCATAGAAGTAGGAAGTAGAATGGTGGTTTCCAGGGGCTAGGGATATGGGAAAATTAGGAGTTATTGTTCAATGGGTATAGTTATTAATACTGTGAACTTCAAAATTAGTAAGAGGAGATAGACTTCATATTACAGGCTGTTTACCACAAGAAAAAAGGTTACTTGCTACTATTAAGTTCATTCACAAGTCTTTATCACACAAGTGTTGTATGTCAATAAAATTGTGAATTCTTCACAATAAGGTCATCTCAACATGATTGGGCACAAAATGCAACTGCAGTAGATATACAAGTGTGAAAAAAAGTGAAAAGTACACAAATGTGAATGTTGGTCTATCAAGTAACTTGATCGGGACAAAAGAAAACAAATTTAAATTATCATTAAAAATCTGGTACAAATAGCCATTGTATTGTTCTGTACTGTGTAAGAAAGGTAAAATACGAACATGAAAGAAAAAAAAGAGAAAACATTAAAAAATCTATATTGTTAACCAGTTTCTTGTTGAAAGTGTGACCCAACTGTAAATTTTAGTTATTTTTCAAGTATAAATTGTCTTTTATTTTAAGTGGAAAGTTAAGGTGTAAAAATACAACATAAAGTGCTGAGAAACTGTTAAAGACTGAACCTATGGTAAGTAGCAATGCCAGTTTTTGAGACCAGTTTTCCATTAACACATACTGAATTACCTAGATTCAGTTTTGCTTCCATGTGCCCCCACAGCAAATTGTGCTTATTCCAATCAGAGCATTTATCATAACATTATAATTATATAATTATATATATATATGTGTGTGTGTATATATACATATATAAAACAATCTATGTTTCCCTGCTGACTCATTTTGTAGTTTGTCAGTTCCACGAAGAGAGGCTAGGATAATGTCCTTTTAATCATGCTATCCCTGAGGCATGTGTGATGAATAGTTGAAGAAATATGAGAGAAACATTATCAAAGGAAATGAGAGAAAAAGAGATGAAGCCTCACATGTACTATAAAGAACAAATAGGAGTTGTGAATTTATGAGTGCAATGAACTATAAAGCATAGGCAAAGTTTCATTTTGAAATGTGTATGGTATGTTAAAGGAAAATATGGATTACAAATGAATAATCAGAAACCTAAGCAATTGTATTCTAAGAGAGAAGCAAGAAAGGTAAGGCATCCTTTAAAAAAATATATGAAGGGTATGGAGAGGAAATTCATAAAGGAATAATTATGAATGAACAAGAAGCATATAATAAGATATATTTAATCGCAAGAGTAATTAGAGAAATGCAAAATAAAATAATAAGACAATTTTTGCTTTGCAAAAAACCCAATGTTTCTAAAATTGGAGTTGGAGTTGGAAAACATTTCATAACCTGATGACTGCAGCAGAAAATTTCACATTTACTGAGGATAATTATTAGGTATTTAATATTAAAATCCAGCACTCCCATTTCTGAAATTCCATCTGAAGGATGTCTTTCACAAGCACAAGAGGATATACATCAAAGTTGCCCTTTACACAACTGAAAGCACAAAGAATGAAGCTATCAATAGGAAATATGTTAAATAAATTATGGGACAGGCATGTCATATGTTAGATAGCTATGTATTCTTTAAAAAAGAATGTAATACAAGTATACATGGGATCCAGAAGAGTATCAGTGATATTGTACAAGAATAAACAAAAAGATTCAGAAAAATATGCACGGTATGACTGATTGACTCTATTTGTAAAATATATATATAATGCTCAGAAATATGCATATATCTGCATATGCTCAGAAATGGCTGATATTGTGATGCATAAATAAATGAGGGGAGATTTTGCTTTTTTTATAAAACTCTACTTCTGGTTTTTTGGGGGCTGAAAATTAACTTCCTGTTAGAAAATGTACTTTATTATTATGAATAATGTGATGTTTAATCAAAGTTGGCTGTAAAATAAAATGAGAAACACAGATAAGAATAGGCATAAATCCTAATTTGCTTTGAGGAAAAAAAAAAGGAAAGGAACTGAAATGCATGAATTAGCAGGCTCTTGAAGAATTAGTGGACAAAGCTGAGCATGTTATTTTAGGACATATGTCCTTTTCTAAAATCATCAGGGTTACGGGGCTTGAGAATATATAAAACAGCACAAAGATCAGATGGTAGCTGAAGGGATTCATGCCTACATTTAGTTATGAAGTTCAAATTGGAAGCTGTTCAGGCAGAAAACTAATAGAAATGGGTGATAGCTAATTAACCTAAGGCTTCAAAGTAATTGCTCGGCAAGAAGCAATTTAAAAGGGACCTTTCTTTTTTTTTATTTTTTAAAATCATAAAATGGCCTATTTGACTTGTGGTCCATGAGCAAAAGTGCATGTACACATACAAATATCAATATTTTTAAACATTTCTAACTTATCTAACTTCTTGGTAAATTTTTAAAGGGCAAAAATATCACAAGAACTCTGCTGCATATCACATACTGAACATCCCAGGCTTAGGACTTTGCCATATCCAGAGATAACTGGAGCAGATTCCTGCAGTAAATATGACTAGGGGGATAGGATTATACTGGTTAATTCAGCCTCAGGCCCCTGCCTCACCCCTAGAGTCAGTAGAGTCAGTTACTCTAAACCTACAGATGTTTGGTAGAGAAATGCCCACCCCACGCCCCAGCAAAAGCAAGTTGCCCTTGTGAAAAGAGTGTGGATAGAATGTACAACATCTCATATCAGCCACCACTTTGGGTAGTATGGCATTCTGTTCCCCAAATTAGTTTGGTATCTCTGACTTACAGCTTCATGCATGTAAACTTCATGTACGACTCACACCTTGAAATGACCTTTAGGTGAAGAGTTCTCATTATCAGCATTTCTGAAACCATGGTTGAAAATATAACAAATACACAGATTATTTATTCACTTATTATTATTATTATTATTATTATTATTATTATTATTATTACTATTATTATTATTATTATTTTATGCCTGAACCATTTATCCCTCTGCTAGAATCAAGGTGGAACAGATTTTCCTAAGGCATATTGGCTACATGGTAGAGATATAGATACATGCTTCACAAAAAAAATATAGAGTGCAATATTTAAGACACAGAATGCATACTAAAATTATTAAATTTTCAATGTTTATGAATGCCCACAATTAGATTGGAAACTACTTCAGGGAAGATAACATGCCTAGGGTTGTGTTTGCTAAATCATGTGATGGATAATGAATCAGATGTGTTGAGGATTTTATTTCATCAAGAGACTTATAATTAGTATCCACAAGATATATGATAAATGATAAGTCTTCTAGTGTTTTGTTAGTTATGGTTTACTTTAAAAAAGAAATGTAATCTCCTAACTCTTAAATTGTCAATTACAAAATCATTGTAACACGGTTTTAGGAAAACAAAAGGGTTTTTAAAAATAATATATGGCTTTTGGATTGTTCTTGTTTTATTTAATATTAATTTAGTTTGTTTTTCTTTTGTTGCAGGATTTATTTACACATGTGGTGGAACATTAAAAGGACTTAATGGCACTATAGAAAGCCCTGGTTTTCCATATGGATATCCAAATGGTGCAAACTGTACATGGGTAATAATAGCAGAAGAACGAAATAGGATACAAATTGTTTTTCAGTCATTTGCTCTAGAAGAAGAATACGACTACCTATCCTTATATGATGGACATCCTCATCCTACAAACTTTAGGACAAGGTTAGTGCATTTTCAATGGAAGAATGGAGGGAAAATATTTTGTGGATAAAAGTAGTTTATTTTACAAAGGTTGCTTAACTTTTGCAATTATAATAAAGTTGCATTCACCATATAATTATTATTAATTTGGAAATATATCAACCCATGAACAAATCAGATCAGTATCTATGACTTCATAATACCAGTGCATTAATACTATCTCTAAAAAAGTGAATATAAATTGAATTGTGATCTATTTGAGGTGGTTAAAAGTATTTTGTTTTTTTTTTTAAATATTTATTTCAAAGCTTCATTTTTTATGGGGATAACTTTTGGTAAAGTGAGAGGATACCATGTAATGTGTCATTCAGTGGTATGTACCCAATTTTAATATACAACATAATGTGAAAATACTTAAAAAATAATATTTATATGATGGTAGAATAATTTTGTATAATGTGTATGGTTTATAAAGTATAAATATCTGAGCAGACTTACATCCTGTTCATTCAAATGAAATTTATTTTCAAGCTAGTTGGTAAAACAGATGAAAATTAGCTGGTACCTTCTTCCTTTTACACTACTGAAGTCTTTAAATGTCTATTCATTTCAAAAATGTACAGTGTGGCTGGCATGTCTAACACTGTTATTTCATCATCATTACCAATTATTAAAAACTAGATGTCTTTTGTTAATAACATAGCACCAAGTCAAGATGAAAACAGACAACACTGTGTGTGTGTGTGTTGGTGCTCGTCTGTACCTTATGGGTGCATGTGTTGGTGTGAGTATCTGCCTTCACCTTGTACACATCAAATCACATTGCAGAGAAAGGAAGATAATTAGACTTTTAAATCAGCTAAAATGATGTTCGATAAAAGTGAAAGGACAAACATGTTTGTATATTTTCTTTATAGCAGTGCATACTGTACAATTGGTATAAATATAAAAATAGAAATAAGGTTCTCTTAATGTTATCTGGCAGTTTCTAACCAGCAGTTCACTGATAGTGTGCTTTGTACAAGCATCTATTCTCTCTATATCCCTTTGAAAATGAGAAAATGCATTTCTATTTTAACCCTACTCTTTTCTTTTACACAATAGTGCTCTCTGAGAAGTTAAAAGGCTTTGTCTAATGGGAAAAACTTTTTTGTTGTTATTTTTATTATTTCTTTCCTAAAAGGTAAATAGGGAATAATAGCACTTAATTTAAAGAAATTTTAAGGATTACGATGTAATGAATGCTCAATAAATCTAACCCTGAGTATTTAAGTCCCCTGTATCTGACACTGCTAAATATTTTATATTCATCATATTATTAACTTCTCTCCTACTCAAACAATGTGAGAAGACCCTATTATTATTATCATTTTATAACTGGGAAAATGAGGCCTTTATTGTTTACCCAAAGTTAATATTGTTGAAGTAGCAAGAGGTTGGGATTATCACTGCATTGTCTCAGTTCAGAGCTTAGCTTATAAAGGAAAAATAAAAAACAAAACAAAAACAAAAAATAGACATGTTTAATAATAATATATAATTCATAATTAAAAATATTTCCATGGTATATGTATTAATTTATGAATTAGTCTGTTTTTCTTTCATAAAATTTAATTAGTAAGATAAGTAATAAAAACAAGTATTTTTAAACCTGTATAACATATAAAGACATAAACACAAAGATAAATTATAAATATATTCTTGGTATTTGTTTTATGGACTCTTCGAATATGGACACTCCATAGTATTTTGCTCACTGTGGATCTGTACTGCATTATTGGTCTTTATGATTAAAGAAATATTATTGCTAATGTTAAGAATTATCTTAATTAGGAAGACTTGGGGTGGGAGGGAATCCAATGCATAACCTCCAGCACCTTCTAGATGGTTTATATACCAAGTCTGCTGTTTGACTAGAAGTTAAAACTGTTGTTTGCAGTTTGATTCATTTTTGTATCTCTCTCCTTCACTCACTGTTTTCTTGCTTTTTGTTTCTCTCACATTTTCACTTAATACATGTCCTTATGGTATGTCTGCTGTTCTCTATCCTTCGGAAATTGATATTTACGTTTAGTTATGTTCCAGCTCCCATAGATGTTTTTAATATCTTGCTATACTTGCTTTGCAATTTCAGAAAAGATAGTTTGTAGGTCTTGTCATTCTTGCTTTTATAAACAGTGGGGCATATTGTCTGTGATTAACAAAATTTCATACATTTAAACTATTCTCTAAAACTCTAATTTTTGATCACCTTGGGGGTTTTCCTTTTTGATTTATTGAATAAAGAACAATATTGGTGGCTGAGTGTGATACTTGGCAGTGACATGCCATTAGAGAATTCCTTTATAGTTCTACATTTAGCTTTGAATAGTTGTTGGTGCATTTAAAATAAATTTGCTCTATTTGATGCATAAAAGGAATTCTAAGCTGTATTTACTCTTTTATGCTAATTCATTTCCTCAATAAGAAAAGTGTGCCAAATGGTAAAAAGAAAAAAAAACCTTAATCATATGAGACACATTCATACATTTAGGATCATTCTATATATGCTATTTTATGTTCATATTTAATCTTCCCATATTAGAATGCACATATTTCAAATGTATGAGAAATTTTGTCACCATCAATTTATTGGATAGTTGTATTTAATCATCCTATAGTTCACTTAATTATTCTCCTATTGTAAATTGTTTTTGTTTTTTCCTCTCTTAATACAGATATTAGGATTAGCTTTAATTCAAAAAACAGCTTTACATCACCACCCCTAAGTGAAAAGTATTCTGGAAAAAGAGCATTTCATTCCAAGATTGATTGTAGAAACTGGTATTAATGGCTTAGGGCCAATAAACACAAACAAATATCACAGTATCAAAATATTCCTAATCATGCTTTTTATTTTACTGCTAAAAACATAGTTAGGTATTAAGAATGCTTAATTTAATGGGGATCAACAGAGGTGAGGCTCAGAACCTCACCTCCACTGTTCTGAGAGAAATCTGCATCTGTGGATATTTTGTTGCCCTTGTCTAGCTTGGATTAATACTTAGTCTATAGGCACACACCTGATCATCTACATTTGCCCTATTATAGCACTAAACTATGTTTTCTACCTTTATCTTGCATCTACCTACCACTTCAGCATTTTATTTAAAAATATAATCATAATAAGGGAGAAATGTGGGATTCACATATAAATCAAGTATAAAAATCAAATGAATATTCATATTTGACTTGATTGCTTATAGTTCATGATGCGTGATCAAAACCGAAAGTTTCTGTGATGACTGCCCTTGCACTGTTCACCATGTAAGAACTTATTTACTATGTAAGAATTTGTTCACCATGTAAGAACTTGTTCGTTATGCTTCAGAAGATTGGAGACTGTTGAGAGTTGGGCTTGGGGTTGATTAATGATTGTGCATTGAGTCCCCTATACAGAATTTTATTGTTGTTAACAACCATTTGATCAATAAATATGAGAGATGCCCTCTCAAAAAAAAAGAATGCTTAATTTAAATAAATATTTATAAAGTTGTCTTTGAAAAAAGAAGACATAGTTATCATAAAGCCATAGTCACAGCATAGAAATGGCCACAGCATAAACTTAATCTTCTTAAATCACATGAATTTCCATGAATTAATAATTTTAGAAGTAAAAAGAAAGGTAAAAATAATGCAAGCAAGTATAAACATACAAAAACTCTTGTAGGGAGTGGGAGGGAATAATAAACAGCTGTTACATAGAAATAGAAATCTGGTTGAGCAGAATATAGTGCTGGGATAAAATTAGTTTTTGAATTTCTTCCAGTTTTATAAGGATATAATTGACATATAATGTGTGTAAGTTTCTTATGTACATGATAATTTGATACACATATATATTGTGAAATGATTACCACAATAACACCTCCAACACCTCACATAATTACCATTTTTCTTTGTGTGATGTAAGAAATTTATGATTTACTCTCTTAGCAACTTTCAGGTATATAATAGAGCACTGTTACCCATAGGCACCGTGATATGCATTAGATATCCAGAATTTACTCATCTTATAACTGGAAGCTTATAGTTTTGACCAACATTTCTCCATTTCCCCCACCCCCTAGCCCCTGGCAATCACCATTCTCTATTTCTCTGAGTTTAGCTTTTTCAGATTCTGTATGTAAGTGAGATCATATGGTATTTGTCTTTGACATATCTCATCTAAGATTAACACCCTTAAGTTCCACTCATGTTGTTGGAAACAGCAGGATTTCCTTCCTTTTTTGTGATCAATAGTCCATTGTCTGTCTGCTAGATCATATGGTAGTTTTATTTAGAATTTTTTTTGAAGAATCTCCATACTGTTTTCCACAGTGGCTGAACCAATTTACATTGACACCATCAGTGCACAAGTGTTTCTATTTTCTTGACATCCTTGCTAACACTTGTTTTCTCTTGTCTTTTTAATAACAACAATTCTAATAGGTGTGAGGTATTGTGGTTTTGATTAGTATTTCCCTGATGACCTGTGATGTGAGCACTGTTTCATTTACCTGTTGAATATTTGTGTTTTCTCTGGAAAAATGCCTACTCAGGTCCTCTGCCAATTTTTAATAAGACTACTTATAGTGTAAAACATGAATCCAATTCACTCTTGCATATGGTTATCTTATTTTCCCATACAATTTCTTAAAGAAACTATAGTTTCCTCTGGCTAATCTTGGTTTCTTTGTCAAATGTTAGTTCATTGTGTATGTGAGAATTTATTTCTTGGCTCTCTAGTTTGTTCCATTGGTCTACGTATGTTTGTGTTTTTGTTTTTTATTTTGTTTTGTTTTACTAGTATTGCATTGTTTTGATTACTATAACTTTGTAATATAATTTGAAAATAGCAAATGTGATGCTTCCATATTTGCTCTTCTTACTCAGAGTTGCTTTGGTAATTTATGGTCTTTTGTGGGTTCCATAAGAAATTTAGGATTTCTTTTTTCTATTTCTGTGAAAAATACCACTGAAAATTTGATAGGCATTGCATT